ATGACATCATGTGTTTCTTTGAAAATTTGGATCATTGACCCACCATCTAAATAAGAAAATAGCTTTGCTTTCAGATCAGTTTTAAATTATATAATTCATCTATATTTTATAAATACTTTTTACTTATTACACCTAATTTATGTTATTTTGATTATTTGTACTTTTTTATTTTTTAAGATTTATTGTTTAACTATCATATCATCGATTAGTCCATTTGACCCAAACTACTAATCCACCACCCAAAAAGGAAAATAATTTGATTTCTAGGTTGACATTAAATTTTGTATTAAATTTCCATCATTGATAAAATTATTTATTATATATAATTCTTATTCTTGTTCAATATAATGAATTTATAATAGTAGAGATATACCTAATATTTTATTTTTTTTATAAATATATAACATTAGATATGTGCCCAAAATTTATCTATTTTTTTTATTTTTTTATTCTTTATATTTTTTTATTTACAAATTTTATTATTTGACTATGGAATCATTTCATTTTTAATTTGATTTTAAATTTAGTATTCCATTTTCATCATTAATAAAACTACTTCTTATATTTCATACTTATTTTTGTTTAGTATAACGAATATACAATAGTAGAGACATACCCAATCTTTTTTTATTTTATTTTTTTGTATGATATATTTTATTTGTTTTAATTTTTTATTATTTATTAACCCATTTGACCCTAAATGGTTTAATTGCTTACCCACCACCAAGAGGGAAGAAAATGGTATTGTTTTCAAATTATTTTTTGAAATATTTTTTTATACTACTAAAATTAATTTTGTAGATTTAATTAGTAGAATTTAATGATGAGAAAAAAATATATCTTAAATATTGGATTTAGTGAGATAGAATAGGAAATGGCTTTATTTAAGTTTTACATTCCATTTCCATAATTAATAAAAACATTTCTTATCTATCATACTTATTATTGTTTAATATGTCAAATATATGATGTGAAAAATGTTCCCAATTTTTTTAATTTTTTATATTTTTTGTATTTTTCTAATTTTGAATTTTATGAATTAATTGTAGCAACATGGATTGGCCCATTTGACCCAAAATGGTTTAATTTCTTACCACCAGCTAGATGAAAACACTATTTTTTTTTCAAGTAGATTTTAAAAGTATAAATTTTTATATTATTTATTATATATGGATTTAATTAATAGAATTTAATGATGAGAAGAAATAAAAATGCCTCAAATATATGAATCAATGAAGGCAAATGCAAGTTAATACCTTAAATGTTGGATTTAATGAGAGAGAATTGAATGGGATTGAATATCTTAAAATTATCTCTTTTCAACTCATTTAATATTAATAACCAATTATCCTATTTGCCCTCATTTTTATCAATAAATTTAAATATAGAGGGGTAGATTTTGTCCTTGCAAAATTACAGAAATATTCTTGAGGCTGTTCGTATTTTTTAAAGTAGTATAGATATATAGATAGGAGAATTGGAATTTTTTTTGTTTATTTGAAAAGTTTTCAAGTTTTCTTTAGTTAACAAATTTTCTTCTGTAAATTAGTTATCTTTATTTCCTTTGATTTTCAAAGATCCATTAAGGATAAATTATTGATTCTTTTACTGTTCGCTTAGATTTAACTAGGATTTACTTTATTAAAGCAACATTCTCATTATACATATGTTCATTTTTATTTTGAAACAGGGATGTTGAATTTACTTTACTTCTTACCATTTTTCCTCTTTAGTTTTTTTTTTTTTTCTGGGATTTATTTTGTATGGAGATTGGATCTCCTCCCAACAAGTTCTTACTATATTGGGAGACCAAATCAGCCCCCCACAATGTCTCACAGTACATCTTCGTCGTGTATTGGGAAAATCTCCAAATGATATACCAAAAATGATGATATCATCATCGGGAAATGGTTCCAATATACGATGGGAATGCTCTATGGGACATTGTAAGGGGCAATCTTGTGAGTGCTGATTTGAACTCGTATATTGGCGCATTGAAAACATATCACTTGTTATTCATAGGAAAAAATGTCTTGTGAGTAAGGATGTGAAAAGAAGTTGTGGGTAGGAGATCGAGAGTGATATGAGCTTGCTTTAAGAACTTAATCATCACTTACTGCTTAGGGATGCAATGGAAGCTGAAAGCTAAAAGCGAGCTGGAACAGGAAACCATGAAAAATGAAGAAGCTAGATTTCACTTGATATGATTTATGACAAGTATATATATAATTTGTTCTATGGTATTTATTACATAGCACATAATAGAGGGGACTCAGTGATGGGACAAAGCGGGATTCACCTATGGCCCACTGACCATAATAAGGAGAGCCTGAAGTTCTACGAATTTGATCCCACACCTCCATTTTTCGGAGGGATCAACTACTGGTTCTTGAAAGTATATAATTATGTTAATAACTTGTGATATTTTATGAAAATTGGTCTTCTGCAAATTTGAACTGCTACTTAAATGCTCATTTTGTTTGGTGGGTTAGTGGTGTCTTCTACGTAGTCTTTTATTTATGGACTATGATGTATTGTTTTCCTCCTCTATTCCAGAAACTGACACGAGGATAAAGATTGCAGCTTGTAATGATAAAGTCACCTGTGCATGTTAGAGGTGCACTTTGGGCAGCCCAATATGAGCACACACTGATTTAGCCCAAAATTTTACATAGATTGGGTTTGGTTTTTTGATTCTCAGGTTGGGCTTGGCCCTAAAAGCTTGAGCTTTTGTACTTTTGGGTTGGATCTGGAGTTCTGGACCTAACCTCTAGGTAGTCTGAAGGTAGTCCAACTATATATGCATATATAGACACATATTTGCATATATATGTATATATATACATACATGTATATTCTTTTTTGGTAAATCATACATAAATACATATGTTTATGTTTGTGTTTGAAACCATGGGCATTTATTCATTAAATATTTGTATTTGATTTGTTTATAAAACTGAGAAAAACAATAATGAACCTATTTATTGATACTTAGGTGTCATTAAGCACCACATCAGCAAAACAGTGAATAAATGCCTACTTGTTGAGGAAAGCGTTAAAATGAAGTTTCCTCCAATGGTAGGCACACACACATAATTCAAGGCCTGCCTTTTTGAATCTCTATATGTATAAATCCGCATGATGGGAGAAATGCTGAAATGATGCCTATATAACAATGTTTATTCAATAAATATCCACAATTTCAAACATGCACTATATCAAATTTTAATATGGACTGATTAACCAACCCAAATTCAGCTCGGGCCCGAGTGCATCAAGTTTCAGTACAGGTCTAGTCCAATTGGACAGATTGTACTTGATCTTTAATTCGGATAGGCCAGTTATTTTGATATCATACACTCAGGGTGGGCTGGAGTGGATTGGGTTGGGTTGGGCTTCCAACTTCAACGACCCATACCATGACAGATCCATTTTCTTGTCCAGCCTATTATCCAACAATAATTCAACTTCGAACAGAATAGACGCTGGCATACTGATCCGTCCACCTAGATAAAAAATGATGATCTCTCGAGCAGTGAGGTAGGCACTCATTTAATGAGGGCATCATCCAAAACTCGCAAGTCACAACAATCAAAGCTAAATCCTTATCCCCCTCCAAAGTCCAAATCTTATTACATATGATCTATAACCCAGGCCTAGGCATATATAAGTATGGGCTTGCATGGGCCCAAGCCAGATGCATATACCATTGAAATAATGGAGTTTTTATAGGTTATTCAATCTTAATTTTAAAATATTTGATATATAAAAAATCTATCAGAAGAACAATTTACAGTATAATTCAAATGGATAGGAGTGTAAATGAAATAATGCAAATTCTAGTTTAATTTTGCTTTGTTTAAGGGTTTATTTTACTTCATTTATATTGCAATAAAAGAAAATTTAAAACAAAAATAAATTAAAATTTACATCCAAATCATTCACATTACATAGTTTTGCATCAGTACAAATTTATTTATATTGCAACCAAACACAACCTAACAAATTCCCTTCGTGAATTTTGATGAAAACCACCTTATAGGTAACAGTTTCATACTGGTTGATTGGTTAATGTATGTATAAATTTATGATATATTTTATACAATATAAAATATTATACATAATATCATATATTTCGAGCTGGACTTAAAGCTTAGGATCCAGGCCCGTCCCTCAAATTTCTGGGTCTGTATGGGCCCATAATTAGGCCTAAACATGAAACCTAGTTTAAGCCCGAAAGTTTTTGGACCAGGATGAAATAATCACTCGTAAGTAGGAATGACAACGGGGCGGGTTTGGGGTAAGGATCATATTCTTCATCTCTGATCCGGATTATAAAAGTAAACCCAGCCCTGTTCCTGATCCTCGTCGGGGATAAAATGTCCTCCATCCTTGATCCCTGATGGGGATGGGTTCCTCGTGAGAATCCAAATCTCTGAATTTTTCTTAGATAACAGTATTTATTTAAAAAATAAATTTACTTAAAATAAATAAAAATTTTAAATTATATATATAATCGGAATCAAAGAAGGGCAGAAACCTCAATCCCCATCTCCGACCCCGACCTCAACCCTAAACGAGAATTCCTGCCCCGTCCCCACCCCGCCAAAACAACCACATGGTGTCGGGGAAATCAGGTCCCTACGGGATAGGAAAAATTGCCATCCCTACTCCTACTCCTGAGATTATGAGAAAACGATATATTCCATAATTGATTATATAATACTTGCCTTGACCTCACGCCCATGCCAACATTACTTTGAATCCATTTTCCTATCTCCATTTTTTCTTCTCTCTACACGAGCCACTCAGTTGTCTGGATCAATTATTTTTGCCCTCTTGTATTGATTTTTTGTATAGAAATATACGTGTATTTTACCTGAATTTCTCGTTTTTTTATCAAACTATCTTGCCACGTGTAAAATTCCTGGATCAGCAAGCCCAATACAAGTCTGACTACGCAGAAAAACAAAATATCTGATATCCTCAAAGTAGATATAGTATACTGGAAGCGGAAAATTCCCCCTCTCTCTCTGGCTCTTCCCCCCACAAAATGTTGCAGTCTCATCACCTCCACACTCACAACTTCCCCTTCACACTCTCTCATCGCCACTCTCTATTAAGTCCTGTTTCGCCCACATCTTCTCCTCCTCTTCATTGCCCATGCAGACCCACCACTCTGCTCTCGGTTCGTGCCCACATTCGAACCAGACCTGAATCATGGCTCGCTGAAGCCCAACCCCCTGAAATCCCGACTACCACCACCACATCAACAGTCACGCCTACGGAAAGCAAACTACAAGATGGGCCCATCGAGCTCCCCTCTTCATCTTCATCTATCTTCGCCACTACCGACGAGCCTTCTCCTCTCCAAGTTGCCACTAGCGTCCTTCTCACGGGTGCCATCTCGGTTTTCCTATTCCGCTCCCTCAGGCGCCGCGCAAAACGAGCTAAGGAACTGGTATCGCTGCTATTATCTTCTCCCACACCTCAATTATATTTCTTGCCATCCATAAAAAAATTAAATTTCTTGCTGTAGATTTTGGGTTTTCAATGAAATTGGTCTTGCTTTGTTTAGAGATTTAGGTCCACAGGCGCGAAGAAAAGTCTGAAGGAGGAAGCATTGGATAATTTGAAGTCATTGAGCCCGACTGCGGTTAATCCCGGGTCCCCTCCTTCGCCTATCCAGGCGTTATTGGGTGGATTGTCAGCCGGTGTGATAGCACTCGTGCTTTATAAGTTCACCACGACCATTGAGGCGGCTTTGAATCGGCAGACCATATCTGATAACTTCTCGGTTTGCATTGCTCTTACCCTTCTCTCTTAGTAACTCGGGGAATTGATTTCCATGTTCTTGCTTTGTTCTTTTACAATTGAATTGAGGACAATTCGAATAACTCAGCTTTCAATCTGGACTTTTTGTTTGCCGAATTCAACAATTCAAGAAATGGTTTTGGTTTGCAGTATAGTATGCATTTGTTTGATTGGAAATGGTTTGAGTGTCTGGAATGGTTTTGGCAATTGGAGTAGTTGGGAGTTGTTTCCAACTGTCACTTACCCCTTCCCAGACTGGTTTTGGGAATTATTCTAGTAAAGTTGCTTGTCCTTCTAGATGTAAATTTATTATCTCCAACTTTTAGCCTTCCAAATTTAAGAATTACACTTTGCAGGTTGCCTGAACAGTTTTAAGAAATCTCCAACTGTGCATTTTTTGGAGAGGTCGTATCACAATGTTTTTCTGTTAATTGGACTCTCATCCCACTGAGGCAGTTCACTAGCTTAGCCAACTGTGGCTTGTGTAAGTTTGGGTTTATTGGGTTTAAACTGGACTGGACTATCTTCTTGGTCCACATTTTTTTTTCTTATGACTTTCTAGATTTGCAGCTGTTACCTCAGAACTTGTGTAGAAGAAATGGATTAGCAATTGATCCTAATCTTCTTAAGGCCTCATGGGTGCTGGGAATGCTCATTGGAAGCTTTAATTATCTTTGGATGATATATACTTTAGGTGCCTCATCTGCACAAAAGAAATTAATTGTTAAACACTTAATAACCAGTTTTGTAGCATTATATAGGAATAAAGATCAAATCTTGGGTAGGTGTTTTGATTATATTTTGGCCTTGTCTCTTGTCATTATTGTGTGCAAGGATAATTAAGTGGCTTTACTTTGTGGATAGGTTGTTCTGATGTCTATTCCTTTCTAATGCAAAAAAACTTTGAAGGCTGAGGCCTCATGAGCCATGCCCACTAAAAAATCCTTAGAGCCATTCCAAACAAATGTCTTATTGTTTTAAGCTATGGAAACAATTCAATTGTTGTTGGGTTGCTTATTGGATCAACTCAATCAATTGCCACATGTTATATAGTAAATTCTTTCAGTATGCAATTTATTGGAAATTTGGGAGTTAGTATCATTTGATTGCTGAGAGCCTTGCCTGATTGATGCCAATCAATCTGTAAATATTGATTAGGATTGGTACAACAACCGTTAAGAGCTGTCAATATAGAAGTGTATAGGAAAACTTCAAGGATTTTTAGCATGCTGCAATTGGACCTGTTCATATAATCTTGGCAATTTTACTATATTCCTAAGACCCTGACCATATTATTTATCTTGCTTTTCAGGTTCGCCAGATAACAATAACAATAAGGTAAGCCTTCATGCTTTTCGTTTTAATTACATTCCTTACCTCTCTGTATGATGTCATGAGTTTCTCTCATCTGATGTTTACAGGACCATTGTGAATGGCTTATGCTATCTTGCAACATTTGTTTTTGGCTTGAACTCTGTTGGTTTAATCCTTTATTCTGGCCAGCTAGCTATCAACTCCTTAACGGAAGGCTCAACAAGTAAGGCAGTTTCAGGATCTGATGATGGGGAGCAAATGTCAAGTCTGTCGACCAAGGGCCCAATGGAAAATGAGGATTCCAGCAATAGTGATGGGGATCAAACTACAGTGTGACTCAATGGTCGAAGATATGACAAGTGTCATAGAACTGGGGTAGGTTATGGTAGTTTTGACCCCAATTGTACAATATTTAGATTCAGATAATGCAATTTCATGAATATAATCTTTTTCCTCCTTCTCAATTATACTCCACCTTTTTCTCAACCTGCTTCAGTTAGCCTCCTAGTCCAGATCATTCAGTGATAATCTTGCTCCAAGTCCCTGATTCTGTGGCTCAGGAGTTGATTTCTTGGAAGCCTTCTCACCCTTTCAAGTGCTTCAATGATGGAGAGTGAAGTCTTCTCACCCTTTTTGCAGAGTTGCAAAAACTATAGAAACTATTTGTTAAGGTGTGTTTGTGATAATTTCATATGATAACTATTCATGATTTATATTCAAGATGATGTTGAAACAATTCAATACCAGTTTTGGATAAAGGAGGTTTTTGTCAGGCTGGCAGCCAATATAGATCTTTTGCTGAAGTCTTATGAGAACATAAACACGAATTGTTGTGTCAAGTTCATGCATTGGTGTTCCCTAAGGCTGTGTTTGGTTAAAGCTACCAGAGAATATGACCCTTGACAGAGTGCACTGACGAATCTCAAAATATTTGGATTAAAACTGTTGAACTGAGTTGATATTAATGCTGTAACCTGTAAGTTGCATATATCCACCCAATAGAGCCTAGATAATTTACAAATTATTTATGACCTTGGAGGTGCTGTGATTCCTAACTCCTAAAAAATCCAATTTTGGTGCACTGTTTTTGACTCGCAGTGGCTTCTCAGAACTGTCCATTACCATTCTAGGCAGATATGAGCTTCATTGAATAATGGAGTTTGGCTTTGACTTTAGCGGCCAATGAAATTTTTGACCCCCCTGCTTTTAGTGCTATCTAATTCAAATTGTAGTAAGTTATATGTCATGGAATGTTGGACAATTAAAATAATAAGATGAGTTGTATGGGAGACATATTAAAATGGTGAGCACATGTAAGTTCAATGACTTCACCAAGAGAGATGCCGTGTATTAAGGAATATGCTTAGTTTGATACTTGCAATATCAACTTGAATCAGTCTCAGTTAATTGATCTCATGAAATGTTCCACACACACACACAGACTTGGCAATGAGAGCTAATACCATATTGTAAAACAATGATCGAAGGCTAATAATAGCAGGAAGACATTCTGTCTTTTGAAGCAGGAAACTCATATGAACTCAATGGGAATGGAGAAAAAAACCGCAAAATCTGTATCCCTTATTATTTTTACTTAACAGGGGGTTCTGTTTCCCCTGCTGCACATTAAGATATTTGACAGGCAGAATTTTTAGATCCCAATATGTGTTGCATCTGATCTCATCTCACCATGAAAGTTCCATGGCCATCAACTACCTTCCTAACATGCGCTGTCCCAAAGGAGGCTTTCCATACTGATGCAATGGGAGGGAATTGGTGTCAACAACATGCAGGAACAGCACCATGATCACCGATGCAGCAAACATTGGGATTGGACCGAAGATCCACAGCAACAAAATAATGGCGAAGTAGAGTGCCCGAAGCCCAAGTGACCAGAAATTGCTTCCCCTGATCACGGCCAACTGCACATATTTCACTGGTATGTCGCTATTTGGTGTGCTTATCAGGAAGTTAGCATGGACAAAGTACCTCGCAGATTGAACGAATGATACAAAGGCGACGAGGAAAAAGGAGAGGAGGCTGATGTACTTCATGGACATTGTAGTCTGGCTTGTGTCTCCAAAGATAAGTCTACTCACGAAGATATTCTGTGCAGAGCCTGCCACCCATGTTCCAATAAGGGAGCTCAGAGTGATGCACATCGAACCGAGGAAGGTGGCCGCTGTTGTGTTGTTTGAGATAACTGCCAGAGCTGATCCCAGGTCCCTCGTCTCAGTCTGGGAATACCCATTTGAATTATCAGATATTTAAGATATGTAGATTTCAGGAACCAGACTAGAAACAGAGACAGAGTCAGAGATCTTACCTGCATCATTCTCTCTACCCAAGCCATTTTATTGTGGTTTTCATAGCCAATGACCGTGGTCTGAGGATATCTTAGCACTCTGTAGAGGAGGAAGAGATGATAACTAAACATGATCCATAATCCGGTTGGGACCAAGAACAAATCCAGGTATTCTTTCTCAAATTTCATCCTTTCCCTCTCTCAAATTTTTGCTGAGTACAGTGTGAGAGAGGCTCCCATCACTCGTATTTGGTATTTAAAAGAAGTTTGACTTCTCCTTCATACGGTATCCCATTTGGGTTTGATTGGAAACGAACTGATGAAAAGCGTGTAAGCAATGGGTTCCTTAGATTGCAATCCTCCGTGATCTGTGAAATTCTTATGTTGTTAATAATTGCAGAATTGTTAATCTGAAATCCAACTCATATTGGAATTTCAAAGTGTTTTACTAACACGCTAAGATTTCCCATGTGATGTTACCTCAATTTTTTCCCGCGCGTTCACGGCTTACCCTTGGACGGTATGACCTCTTCAGTTCCTTCTCACCCCTCAGCTCAGCCCCCCCGGTGCGAACCAAACGGAACCATGGCTCGCTCACTCCCCGAGCTCCGTGCAACCCTCCACGGCTCCACCAGAACAACGACAAGTACAACAGAAGATCTGCCAGAAAGTGTATCCACCGATACCCAAGAGCCTTTATTCTCTCTACTGACTGCAGACGTCTCTGTTTTCCTCCTTTGGTCTGGAAGAACAGCTACTGTTCATCTCCCAACTTGAAGTTTATTTCTTTACTTCGAATTTTAATGAAATGGGTCTTGGAACAATAACAGGCGTGAAGAAAATTCTGCAGTGTTGGATGGGTTGAGGCGATGACACTGATTGCTAAGACAATAACGGGCTCAGAAGCCAGGTTCCGTCCTTGCCTATTCAGGGGGCATAGTTAAGTGGGTTGTCAATGGTTTTATCATTATTACACGTTCCTACTCAATGTTATCTTTCTCAGAAAGTTGAGGAATTGAACCCCATGTTTGTGCTTTAATTCAGGGCAATTTGTTGAATAGTTTAACTTCCAGTTCAAGGTTTCGCGTATAGGGAATTCCAACAATTCAAGAATTTCTCTTTGAATTCGTTAAGCTGGAGATAGTTGAAGTGTCTGGGATTGTTAATTAATGATAATTAGGGCTATTAGGCAGGCATTTGTTCAAACAACAATCAATGTCATTAACCCGGATGGATTGTTTTAGCAAAGAAGTTGGTAGTTTTAGATGATAATTCTCAAACTTGAATTCTTCTAGCTAGGTTGCCATCTCATGAAATCTGGAAGCACGCTTGATTTTCGGAATCTGGTTTGAAATCATGTGAAGAACCCCTGAACTTAGTTCAGTTTGGGAAGAGTGCAAATACAAATATGTACAGTGCAAAACCTTGTATTTATACTGTACATATTTGTAGTTGTACTCTTCCCAAACCGTTTAGGCTCAGTTTGGGTTCCAGAACTTTCTTTGCCCCCATTGTTCGCATCCCTTTCATTAATTTAATGGAATATTCTGAAACCTCAAACTATCCTTATTTTATAAAATCATTTTTCCTTTTCAGCGTACGTTTTCTAAAATCCTAATGCTCATATCTTTTTTTCCTTAACATTCTTTTTCCTTCAAACAAGTTCATTTTGAGAACACCTTGGAAGGATTTGTGCTTAAGAATAGTTATTTCCATCATTTTGATATTTGTTGCTCTCAGGCCTCAGCTGTCAAACAATTTAGTAATTTCACTTTCATCTTCAATCCTATTAGTGGGTCGGGGAAATGTGATTGAATCTAGAAGTTTGGCGGGATATCGCAAGACAGATGCATAATGGGACCCACAAAAAACGAAAATTGGTTACCAATTTCAGGTAGTTTCATATATCAATTCCTAAAATTAATGAAATGCATAATGAGTGATGAGGTGTAAAAAATCAAAATCAACTATGTTCTGAAGGAAAAACCTATGATGCCAAAAAAGGACATGGTACCGAAAGAGCTTTGATCAATCAAAACCCACATGTGAATTTTGATAAATTACATTTGATTGGTTAAAATGTTTATGATATCAGTTGATTGGTCACAAGTTTTTTGGATGTCATAATCAAAGGTACTTGAATATTTAATGTCATGAAGTTTCCAAGTTTTAGCATTCTATATAAATTTGGTGCATGAAGATGATGAAAATGGGATATCTTTCTCTTCTCTTTTATTTGCTTGAGGGTTTATCAAGGACTCATTTGGCTCGTTGCTAAGTTTTGTCATGCCCTACTATATCTTACTAGAAATTGAATTTAATTTTAGGAAAAATCTATGATATGAAAAAGACATGGTACTGGAAGAGTTTTGACCAATCAAAGCACCCTTGTGAATTTTGATGATACCACTAGATTGGTCACCTCTTTTATGATGCCAGTTGATTGGCCACTAGATTTTTCTAATATCATGTCTTTCCAGTATCATAGTCAAACCATGTCTCAAAACCAGAAACAAAAGATAAGGAAACATAGAAGAAGTGAAGAATGCTGTTTGGTTCTATTTAACAAGAAATAGAAATTTCATAATGGAAAAAGAGGAATTTTGAGAAATGTATTTAATTTAAGAATTGGACAAAATATTTCTAATTATCATTAATGTTTCATATCAATTAAAACCCAAAAGTCCAAAACTACGGTGGTGGGTCTACTTAACATTCTTTTATGAAATTTGAACATATATGATATGTGATGAGGGGTAATTTGATCCTCCAAATGACATCATGACATGTGGCATTCAAGTGACACCTTAGTGCTGAATAAGCTGATCATCTCGACAGGTCGGCTGGAAATTCCTTGCAGGGCCGATTTAAAAGAACTTCGGCCCGACTGACCTGTAGGACCTCCGACTAAGGAGTGACCTACCTAAGGGACTGACCGAGGTAAGGAAAGCACTTTAGGTGACCTATAAGGCATGCTCGCTGACTTCTCACATAGATCCATTGTCGGGACCAAGTTCATTGGAACATTAATGAGTCGACCATTAGGCCAGCCTACCCGCATCATGCACATCAAAGCCAACCGGACGGACCTTAGCCCTCTGCGTAGATTACGTAACCAACGTCATTACTCTCCCGACTCAATGGAAACGCCTCTACAAGAACCTGAGACCCGTTACAAGAAGGTCTCTGAGTACTTGTGTCTATATAATGATCCCATTTCCACCTGAAGAGGTATGCACGACTAAGCTATCACACTCTCTAATCTCTTTAAACATTCTAAGAAATCATCACTGACTTAAGCACTAGAGTGTCCATCCCAGGTAAAAACAACTCGAACACTCTAACTCTCCCCTTTTGCAGAATCATACAGCTCAGCCCATCTCAGCTTGGCCATTGGCTATGAACATCCGATTCGGTGTCTGCTACGTGAGAGCTGCCAAATTGTGCTATGTCAATATGTTTTAGAAAAATAATACTAGATGGATCCCACATGACTAAATAATTTAATTTAATTATAGTGGGCCTACATTACCATGGGCCCAATGGTGATGAACAAAACCAACTCTCTTTCATACAAACAAGCTTTATTGGAGATGGCAGAAAAGACAAAGTCCGAATTCAAAATGAGTGCATCTTAAACAAAAATAGAATTACTTCTGAAGTTTGTAAGAGTCTAAACTCAAAAATGCGTGCATCTCAAGAGCATTGCTGATCTTCAACTCAAGTGAGTTTGGAGAATAACGAAGACAATTTTGAGTATCATAACTACAATTAAGCAATTTTGCAGAAAAAAAAAAAAAACTACAATTAAGCAATAGGGCTGGAAGCCTGGAACATAAACAAATCCTTTCGAACCCGATTGCTCATGAATTACAAATCATCTTTCTTCCATAGTTAAAAGATGCCTGCAACAATCAATGGTTAATTCTGCTTAACCCCATTAACTGTAGAGGTAACCCTCCAGTTCTTTTAACGATATAGGTACTACTGCATTGTGTAGATTATGCTCTGATAATGAGTAAGATAACTCTTTAGGCTATACGAGGGGAAAACCATCATCTTCCGTTTTGTAGAAACCATTTTCAATAAAAAAAAATATCCCAAAAAGTAGAGGATTCGATTTCTAGAACCCATTTTAAATAAAAAAAACCCAAAATTAGATGAATTATTGCTACTCACCATGGTTCAAAGCATGGATATGTTCAATACGCAAAAGTTGTGTATCAGTCAAGACGTTTCAAATGGTGCGATGGTTATTAGATTAAAATATAAAGGGTCATTTACTTAAACACCCGTATTTACTAAAACCTACACTTAGTTTGCATTTTATTAAAATACCCCCTATAGTTTGTAATTATTTATTCAACCCTCTGTCAGGAACCTTTTTGTATTTCTATTTGAAAATAGCCACTTGACCTCTTAAAGCAAGTGGAAAATGTGAAAGGGCATGAATCCAAGGTTTTCTTACTCCAAAAATACCCTTAAATATTCTCAGGTATCACATGTAGTTCACTTCTTTTCCAAACAAAGCTATAATGTGGGGAGAGGTTTATTTGTTTTTCAAAAGGTTGATAAGATAAGTATTATGGCTATATTTGGAATAAAATCTTGGGCCATTGCCCTTTCATATTTTGGGCACGCCTTAAAGGCTCATGTGAATATTCCTAAATGGAAATACAAATAGTTTTTGATGGAGGTGAATTAAAATAAAGGGGTTTTTTATGATTCAGTCTATCCCTAGGGCATCAATTCACGGGCAGGATTCAGTCTACCCCTAAGAAATCGTAGCTCCACCTAGGGGTAGACTAAATCCTGCCCGTGGATTGATGCCAAATTCACGGGCAGGATGTGGTTTTTAGGAGGGACTACTAGTATACTAGTAGTCCAAAAATCTCTTAAATAAAACATATGCAAACAATAGGGTTATTTTAATAATACACAAAATACAGGGTGGGCTTTAATAAATACATGAAACTATTGGAGGTTTTTGAGAATTTAGTGAGGGCATCCTTAGGAGGGGTATTAGCCATTAAAATTGGCCAAATTTCACAGCCTCAGGTATTTAGCGTTTTGGGGACCCCAAGATACAATATGATATTCTCACTTTGTTATTTATTTATTAGTATTACTAGTCGGGGGCCGTTGATGCACGGGTGTTAAAAGAATTGTGGCAGGAATCTTATTACAATATCAATTGGGCCAAGTGGTATCAAGTCCAAATCAAACTATTTATCTTAATTTTTATTAAATTTTTACATTTTATTAATTTTATTATTCTTAAATTCAACACACAAGCTTTGTTAAGTGACATTTAGATGGTAGTCTTAAAACATTTCTAATTGGGCCAAGCTAAACCCAATTCATCTTAGCATTATTCTTGGGTTATGTATTGTCTAATAAATTAAAAAAAAACCAAAAATCTAAAAGGAATTGGGAAAAGGGAGAGTTACTTTTTTATTAAGTTAAATTAAAAAATATTTGTATTGATTTTAATTAAATTATGTTTTATTAATTTGTATCAATTTTAACTAATAAAATAATTTTTTATAAGTTTTTTAACAATTTCTTATATTTTAATTATGTTATTTTTATTAATTATTTTAATTTTAATTTTTTACAAAATTTATAAAATTAATTTTACTAATTTTAGAGTAAGTTAATAAAACTAAGTTATTTAGTTTATTTTAATTAATAAGTTAATCGTGTAAAGTAAATTACTGATTTTTAAATTTTCCCTTATTTATATTTTTCTATTAGTTTCTGATTTTTAATATTTCTCAACAAATATCACTTTTGATATATTATTTTTTTTTTGTTATTTTAGTGTATTTTATCTTATTTTATTAGTTAATGAAAAATTGAGTTTCTATTTTTATTGTTATTTTCTGTTTTTCAAAAAAAATTCCTTATTTTGTTAAATTTTCCTATTACTTAACAAAATTTCTAATAATTTTTCTGTTATCCTCCCTTATTTTTCTTTTTTTTCTTTTTAATTAATAAAATTATTTTTAGTGAAAATTCTCTTATTTTCTCTTTTTTATTTTCAAAATTGCATAACCGAATCAAACTCATCAAACCAGATTGGTCCAATTCAGTATGAACT